ACAGCTGAAGCCTTGTCTATTCTTTCAGACTTTGGCTTCTCCCTTAAGGATAGCTGAGGAGATCTACGGAAATTGCTCTTGCTGGCGAACCTCCTGAATGACTTAGTCAAGAGTGCCAGGGACTCATTAAAATATGTTAAATCAGATTCTGGAATGTCCTCAGAAGAATCTATCTTCGTAATGACAACGGGAGGTAGAGAAGAAACAGAAGAATAGAAGTTTCAACTGGAGAAGTTTCAGAGATCAAAGCTAAAGGATCGCTTTTCATTTCCCTGGATTCTTTTACAAGATTTCTTTTCAGTTGACGAGATTGCTCATGATTAAGCAGAATCCCGTATAAGGTAGAAAGAGAAATAGTGGACATGTTATTTGACATCTTAAGACACATGGAAAAGGTGTCCCAAGGCTCAGGAAGGCATTCTAGAAATAGTCAAGGTTTCAGAATTAGAATATTCCCTGCCGACAGCCCTAAGATCAATAAGAAGGCAATTAAATATTTGATGTACTTCAGGCAGCGTCTCAGACTTTCCACAGAAAAAGCTTTCATACTGTCTTACTAGATTGATCTTTCTAGTCCCCTGAACCTGAGTGGTTCCTTCATATTGGACACAAAGTGTATCCCATACGGATTTAGAAGTTTTGAGTTTCATCATTGAGTGATAGATCTCATCAGGAAGAGACATAGCMATTATAGACCGAGCACGCGTGTCTATAGCTATTTTCTTCTTGTCCTCATCGCTCCATTGATGTGGAAGCGTTGGAATCTGACGTTCAGGAATCGCGGCAGTCGTAGTTGTTTCTGGAACAGCCGGAACAATAGCAAATGGAATATATGRTCCATTTTCTATGTAATGTGGAATTTCAGGATCCACACCTTCCAGAAAGAGGGACATCCGGTTCTTCCAGAGACTAAAGTTGTCATGGACAAACCGGGGAGGCTTGGCATGAGAGCCATTATCTTTTGTGTGTGTGTTTGTAATTTGTAAAGCCATTTGTAAGCAGTAAGTTATCTAAGAAGAGATAAATTAATACAAAAAATTAGCCAAACACAAGGACAGAAAGAAAATACTGCTCTGATACCACTTGTTGGTCCCGTAAGGGTCTACAAGAAGAGAAATAGTTTGTA